CTCCCAGAGTACAGGGGTTACAGGCTTACAGCAGCATGCCTAAACGCCTAACTCATCCATAAACTCCTGAGTTAGGTTCCATCACAGTCAGGCCTGAATGAAATGACCAAGGCAGAGAAAGAGATGGGAAGAAAGGAAGAGGGAGGGCCTGGAGGGGATGTGTCTCTGTTTTTCCCTGACCCTTCTACCTTGGTCTTTCCGATGGCCCTGTTTTCCTCGATCACCCCCTGGTGCCTCAGCCTTATACATATATGTGTACATAGCCTGCTCACCTCACATACAGGCACGAGGCTTACCAACTCTGTTTTGTTTTGTTTTGAGACAGGGTCTCAATATGTAATGCAGGCTGGCCTTGAACTCACTTATATAGCCCAGGCTGGCCTAGAACTCACAGTGATCCTCCTGCCCCAGCCTCCCGAGTGCTGGGATCACCTAACCAGTTTTAAGCCTCCCGTGCCATCACTCTATTCAGACACCTGACCTCTTTAAAAAGCCCAGTGTGGTGGCACACACTTATAATCTCAGCACTCTGGAAGGCTGAGGCAGGAGGATCACAAGTTAAGAGTCCAAGAGACTTAGAGAAATCTGGGGATGTACCTCCATGCAAAGGTCCTGGGTTCAATACCCAGTACAAAAAAAAAAAAAAAAGGCATTGCTGAAGCAGTGGGTTTCCTCCTGGTCTCCTAGGTCTCTCTGGGCTTCCAGCACCACCAGCATGGTAGTTTCTTGTTTTTGCTTTTGTTTTGGTTTGCAATACTTGGGTTGAGGCCAGGCTTTTGTAGTACATGCTACATGAGTGCTGTATCACTGAGTTACACTCCCAAACCTTTCTAAACTTTTTTTATTTGATTTGATTTTTTTAGAGACAAGGTCTCACTATGTAGTTCAGGCTGGCCTTGAATTCACTGTGTAGCTCAGGCTGGCCTCAAACTTGCAGTGATCTTCCTGCCTCAACCTCCCAAGTGCTGGGCTTACAGGTGTGCACCACTATGCCCAGCCAAAACTTTTTTATTTTTGAGACAGGGTCTTGCTACACCAGTAAGTTGGTCAGGACGGCCTAGAATTTACAACCCTCTTGCCTCAGCCTCCCAACCAGCTAGAATTGCAAGTGTGTGCCACCAAATTTTACCTGTGCAGTAGTTTTGAAGGCAAAGGTGAAGGAGCAGCTCTTGACAGTCTGGGTTAGCTGAGAGACTCTTTGTGAGCATATGTGTGTAGGTGTGTGCCTGTATGTGTGCAAATGTAGACATATGCACAAGTGAATACATATGTGGATCGGGAGCACTCCTGATCCTTTTGGAGGTGGAGGGAGCATTGAGGCCAGAGATGACACAGGAAGAGGGAACTAAGTGACAGCTACGTGACCCTGAAGGTTCTCTGCTCACCAGCTGCCCAGAGACCACACCTTCCCAGCCAAAGGACGGATGGGGTGAGCTGGCCCATCGGTTTTCCACTGGTGACAGTGGCATTTCCCACGTGAGGGTCATGCCCAGTCTCCGCAGACTGGAGGGCTTCTGATGCCAGGGACTGACTGAGGTGACTGAGGAGCTGAGAGCCTCCCATTTTCCCGGGTGATCCTTGGGAAGTCACTGACCTCCATAAATTGAGGCTCAGGCGAGCCCCTTAATCTTTCAGAACTTGCGCTGCTTCATCCTTCAGAGTGCTGAGGTGAGGATCGGAGGTATGCTGGAGGAGAAAGTGGTCTTCTCCAGGGCCTGACCCTCTCCTGTTGTTGACTTTACTTCTTCTGAAGTCCCCTCATCAATTCCCATTACCTCAGAAACCTGCCTGATTAGAGCTAGAAACCTGCTTGTTCCTGGATCCAAGCCCCAGGTTTTACAAGGGTTTCCCCAGATAAAAGTAGGGCCCTGTCATGGGTCACACAATCCGCTGGGCACAGAGCCCACATCCCTTATCAGCCAGCTGAGATACGACCAGTTTCATAACATCTCTACGTTCTTGTCCAGGCTTTGTTCCCATCCATAGGGAAGCTGGTAGTGATGTCTCAATCAGATGCCAGAGTCAAGCGCCAGGCTGAGAGCTGGGCACATAGGACTACTTAGTAAACACTGGGTCATAAGACTGCCCCTCGGGAGTTTTTTTTCAGGCTTTGCTATTACTATGCACAAATTAGAAGCCACAATCTCCCTGGTAATAAGAAGGGAATTTTCCCCCCATTTGTTGGAGGCAAAGCTACAGTTTGCTAGGTCCAAGACTTGATTTACCTCCTAATAAATTATGGCCAACTTTCATCTGTCATGGGCTAAGACATAACATGTAAGTTTGTTTTTGTTTTGTTTTGTTTTGTTTTGTTTTGAGACAGGGTCTCAGTATGCAGTTCAGGCTGGCCTTGAGCTTACTTTTGTAGCCCAGGCTGATCTTGAACTGACAACCATCCTCCTGGCTCAGCCTCCTGAGTGCTGGGATTACAGGTGTGCATGACCATGCCCGAGACACATAAGTATTATGGGAGTGGCTAAGGTAAAGTAACTAAGACATTTCATTTATCCCCTCATCAATTCATTACCCACTCCCAGTACTGGGGATTCAGTCCAGGGTGTTCACACTGAGCTACATCCTTAGCCCTTTTTTATTTTGAGACTGTCTTACTAAATTACCCTGGCTGGGTTCAAATTTGTGGTTATCCTGCCTCAGCCTCCCAGAGTGCTGGGATTGCAGGCATGTACTACCATGCCCACCTCAACAAACATCTTTTATGCCTGCTGTGTGGCAAGCCTGGAATGCTGATGTTTATAAGATATATTCCTGCTACCAAGGAGTTTGGGTGCAGTGGGGAACCCAGGGATACAGGAGAGAATGAGGTGTCACAGAGGCCTGGATGAGGACATGCTGCCTGTCTCTGAGAATCCTGCAAGATTTCTGTAAGTGAAGCCTGGCACAGTGGCACATGTCTGTAATCCTAGCACTTCGGAAATAGAGGTAGGAGGATCTCGAGTTTGAGGTCAGCCTGGGCTACATAGTGTGTTCAAGGCTGGCTGGGACTCATGTCTCAAATTTGTAAAAGTGAAGTTTGAGCTAAATTGTCAAGGAGATAGAAGCACACAGGTTACCAAAGCAGGAAAGATTGTCTGCACAGACAATGAAAAAGTTTACAGACATAAAGATAACTGGAATATGTGGAAGTAGTAAGGCCCTACTAGATGGCCAGACAGAGGGATATGTACTGCTGGCCAAGGCCAGCCTCAGGGGGAGACGAAAATGAAAAAGTAACTAAGGACAAATTGGTTCCTGCCGGCCACTATGTGTTTTTTTCTGTTTTTTGTTTTGTTTTGTTTTGTTTTGTTTTGTTTTGTTTTCAGTGCTGGGGAGGGAACCCAGGGCTTTGCACACGCTAGACATACCTTCTGCTACTGAGCTGTGGCCTCAGACCTTGCAATGTTTTTCTTTTCTGGTACCGGGGATTGAATCCAGAGCCTTTGCAATGAGCTACATCTGAAGCCCCTTTTTTATTTTGAGACAGGGTCATGCTAAATCTAAATTGTCCAGACTGGGATTGAACATTTTACTTTGTGTTGGTTTTTTGATAGAGAGTCACACTATATTATTCAGACTATCCTTGAACTCACAGTGTAGTTCAGTGTGTCCTCAAACTTGCAGAAATCCTTCTGCCTCAGCCTCCTGAGTGCTGGGATTACAGGTGTCCACCACCATGCACAGCCGCAACTCTATTTTTTTTCTTAGCAAACACAAAATACCTTCGATGTACCAGGCATTGCTATTAATGCTTTACAAACTCTAGTTCATTTAGTCCTTCTAGCAACCCAAGTAAAACTCCAATCTTGCAGGCACAGCAGAGGCACAGAGAGGACGAATGACTTGCCCAAGGTCACTCAGCCTGTGTGTGACCAAGCTAAGATTTGAATGGAGGCATGGGAAAGGCGCTGAGCCTGGGGCAGGTGTTGTCATGCTTTGATCCATTTCATAAATGTTTTCTAGATGCCTAAAGTGCACTGGAGGTAATAGGGCCCCTAGACCTGACTATGATTCTCAGAGATTACTGTCCATCCAGGGAGACAGAGGATGACATAATTCATTCAGTAAAGTCATCCAGAGGCTTCCACATCCCATGTCCACATTCAGCAGCTGGCAACATCTGAGGTGCTAAAGCCAGGCCAGACTCCTCCGACTTCATCTTGGGAAGGATGCGGCATCTTGCCCCGGTCTCACCCCACCTTCTGTGAGATGCACCAAGGGCCTGGCTTCACAGGCAGCCCTGGGCCCAGAGCAAGTGCCAGAAATACAGCCGAGGATTGCAGCTAGCCTCAAAGTGTGGTCAGGCAGGCGATA